AACAATTTGATTAACTGTCTTTGTCCTGCCTCTGTATCCCTGCTTTCACGCCACTGTAAGTTTGCTTCAAGCTAGCCCACCCCCTTTTGTGAAGTGTGTATAAAAGTCAAGTGCTGTCTTTGTTCCAGGCCGTCTTTGGACGTGAGTCTGCTTGGGCCTGAGTGCACTCAATGAAAGATTCTCTTGCTTTAAGCGGAAGACTCTCTCCCGTCCTCCTCAATCCCGAAACAGTGGCTCACCCCCGTAATCCCAGCACTTTGGGAAGCTGAGGCAGGCAGATCACGTGAGGTCAGGAGTTCGAGACCAGCCTGGTCAACATAGCGAAACCCCGTCTCTACTTAAAAAAAAAAAAAAAAAAAAATTAGCTGGGCGTAGTGGCATGTGCCTGTAATCCCAGCTACTCAGGAGGCTGAGGCAGAATCGCTTGAACCCGGGAGGTGCAGGTTGCAGTGAGCCAAGACTCTGCCACTGTACTCCAGCCTGGGAGACAGAGCAAGACTCTGTTTCAAAGAAAAAAAAAGGTCTGATTCAAGCCACAGAGGGATCTATCCTGGCTCTGACCCATCCCCCTGCATTGAGACTACAATGTACCCATCTGGAAAAGGAGAACGGGGTAAATAGAAAAAGAGAGGACAGAAAGGGGACAATCACACAGGAAGTACAAGGTGGCTGCTGGAGCTCAGCCAGGCCTCCCTGAATGGGAAGTTTTTCCTACTTCTAAACTGGTTGGCAACATTGCTGAGCACACAGAAGCCACAAAAGTGACTTCTGACAAAAACACAATCACCTTCAAAGTCCTTTAAATCGCTTCATGTATGAGATGTTTCCTGTAGCTCAAACCCAAGCCATCCCTCATTCACGGCCCCTCACAGGAACCCCAACCCACCCTAAGTTGGGGAAAAGCTCACTTAATGCCATCGAGCCAGGTGACAAACTCATAGGCGCTGCTGGTGGGAGCGTGACATTGTACATAGGACTCGGGAGCGCAGTCCACTGTGTTGAACACCACGAGGCTGTACTGGGTCCCTCCATACTGGGAGGGGAGAACAGAAAAACTTATTTTTTATTTATTTATTTTTTTTTTTTGAGACGGAGTCTCGCTCTGCCGCCCAGGCTGGAGCGCAGTGGCCGGATCTCAGCTCACTGCAAGCTCCGCCTCCCGGGTTCACGCCATTCTCCTGCCTCAGCCTCCCGAGTAGCTGGGATTACAGGCGCCCGCCACGTCGCCCGGCTAGTTTTTTGTATTTTTTAGTAGAGACGGGGTTTCACCGTGTTAGCCAGGATGGTCTCGATCTCCCGACCTCGTGATCCGCCCGTCTCGGCCTCCCAAAGTGCTGGGATTACAGGCTTGAGCCACCACGCCCGGCCCAGAAAAACTTTTAATCTGGGATCTCAATTCTCTTTTCCCTCAGAGAAGGAATCAGGGCTCCCAGCTTCCTGTTCCTCCAGAACCAGGAACTCCTCAACTTCCTCCTTCCTCAGACCCAGGAATCTCAGCCCCATCCCCTCCTCACTCAGACCCAGGAGTCCAGACCCCTGTCCCTCCTTCCTCAGACCCAGGAGTCCAGGCCCCTCCTCCTCCCTCAGACCCAGGAGTCCAGACCCCGAACCCCTCCTCCCTCAGACCCAGGAGTCCAGACCCCGAACCCCTCCTCCCTCAGACCCAGTAGTCCAGACCCCTCCTCCTCCTCAGACCCAGGAGTCCAGGCCCCTGCCCTCCTCCCTCAGACCCAGGAGTCCAGACCCCGAACCCCTCCTCCCTCAGACCCAGGAGTCCAGGCCCCTCCTCCTCCCTCAGACCAGGAGTCCAGGCCCCGAACCCCCTCCCTCAGACCAGGATCCAGGCCCTCCTCCTCCTCAGACCCAGGAGTCCAGACCCCGAACCCCTCCTCCCTCAGACCCAGTAGTCCAGGCCCAGCCCCTCCTCCCTCAGACCCAGGAGTCCCAAGACTCACGTCTCCCCCGAAGTCCGTCTCAGCAGGAGGACCACCATTAAAATACCTGTGAGGGTCGGAGGTGAAAGGTCGGAGTCAGGCAAGAAGCTGTGGAAACCGAAATGGGAGGGCGGGATTAGAGCCGCGGAAACGGCACTCACTCGATGGCCGGCAGCAGGTAGTGCTTGCGGAGTCCCTCGAAGTAGGGTCCCAGGTTGGCCGTACCCTCAATCACAAACACCACGTCGGCCACCAGGCCCCCGGCGCGGGCCGGGCCCTCGGACCCGGGGACCATACCCCGTGCGGTAGCCGCCACCGCCACAGCCGCCGCAGCCGACACCGCGGAATGAGCGGAAATGCGCCTGCGCTGCGCGCGCACCCGCGCCGGGCGGTTTAGGGACGCTGGGAATGCGGCCATGTTTGTGCGGGGCACGCGCTGAGGCTTCGTTCTAGCTCCATCCTCCTTCGCCTCCACCGCGTGGAAAACTCAGAAAGGGCATAGTTAGCCCTTTTAGGGGCCTGATGGGTTCGACGGAATTCTTGTCAGGATTCTCAAGAGCGAAATAAATTGAAAGCGGCTCAGTCAGCCGCCATCTTTGAGCGGGGCGTCTGGGTCCGCCTCTTGTCTCAAAGGGAGGGGCGGGAGACCTGGTTGCTATGCAACGCGTACGCTGCCCTTGTTTTCGTTTTTGTGTTTGTTTCCTTTGTTTTCGAAACGGGAGTCTCGCCCTGTCGCCCAGGCTGAAGTGCAGTGGCGCGATCTCGGCTCACTACAACCTCCGCCTCCCGGGTTCAAGCGATTCTCCTGCCTCAGCCTTCCGAGTAGCTGGGATTACAGGTGCCCGCCACCAGGCTCCGCTATTTTGTATTTTTAGTAGAGAAAGGGTTTCACCATGTGGGCCAGGCTGTTCTCGAACTCCTGACCTCAAGTGATTCGCCCGCCTTGGATTCCCAAAGTGCTAAGATTACAGTCCTGAGCCACAGCGCCGGGACCTCTGCCCTTGTTTTCCAACCGTTAGATTAAGTTTCTGATTCTGTTCTTTTGGGCGGGCGGACTGGGGGAGGGAGGCGAGAAGGATCCAATCACATCGGCGGAAACGAGGTTACTAGGCAACGCTTTAAGGTCGTCCTCAACTTGGAAGGGAGGGCAGTTGTTTTCCCCCTGAAAAGAAGCCGAACACCAACCCAAGTGTGGGTTGCTTAGCAACACCTGAGCGTTGTTTTCCGGGAGAGGAGCCAGAAACTGGCCTAGAACATAAATACATTCCAGGTAGATTAAAAATGTAAGTGCGACAAATGAAACTCGAAAACTATCTGAAGGAAAAAAAATCTTAATGACTGCCATGGAGTTTCTTAGCACTACAGCAAAGTCAGAAAACGTAGTCTTTATTAATTTTTCCCAAAAGACTGCATAAACCAAGTTGAAAAATACACTACCAACTGGAATAATCTAACGTGTTTGTTGACAGAAATGTGCTACACAAATCTTATTGATGAATAATATAGAAAAATAGAAACACTGCATTACTATTATCTTTTTAATTTTAATTTTTATTTTTGAGATAAGGTCTCTTTCTGTTGTGCAGGTTGGAGTGCAGTGGCCCAATCTTGGCTCACGGCAGCCTCTAGTGCTCGGACTGGAGCCACTCTTCTGCCTGTAGAGCAGCTGGGACCACAGCCGCGCACCAGCACTCCCAGCTAATTTTTAATTTTTTTTTTTTTTTTTTTTTTTGAGACGTTGTATCGCTCTATCTCCCAGGCTGGAGTGCAGTGGCGCAATCTCGGCTCACTGCAAGCTCCGCCTCCCGGGTTCACGCCATTCTCCTGCCTCAGCCTCCCGTGTACGTGGGACTACAGGCGCCCACCACCACGCCTGGCTTGTTTTTTATTTTTGTATTTTTAGTAGAGATGGCGTTTCACCGTGTTAGCCAGGATGGTCTCCATCTCCTGACCTCGTGATCCGCCGGCCTCGGCCTCCCAAAGTGCTGGGATTACAGGCATGAGTCACCGCGCCCGGCCTAATTTTTAAATTTTTTGTAGAGATAGGGTCTCACTATGTTGCCCTGGCATGTCTCAAACTCCTGGGCTGAAGCAATCCCAGGTGTTAGCCACTGTGCACTGCCACTTTATATTTACTTTAATAGAAAGAAACCTGACCCGGACCGGATGCCGTGGCTCACGCCTGTAATCCCAGCACTTTGGGAGGCCGAGGCGGGCAGATCACGAGGTCAGGAGATCGAGACCATCCTGGCTAACACGGTGAAACCCCGTCTCTATTAAGAAATACAAAAAACTAGCCGGGCGAGGTGGCGGGCGCCTGTAGTCCCAGCTACTCGGGAGGCTGAGGCCGGAGAATGGCGTAAACCCGGGAGGCGGAGCTTGCAGTGAGCTGAGATCCGGCCTCTGCACTCCAGCCTGGGTGACAGAGCGAGACTCCGTCTCAAAAAAAAAAAAAAAAAAAAAAAGAAAAAATTAGGGAAGGGATATTTTCACATTTTACATAGTATGCTACCATGTATAAATTCATTACAGAAATGATGTTATTTTTATTATTCTGGACGACAAAGGATTTCCTTGTTTTCTTTTTTCCAATAATAAAAACAACCTTTTTTTTTTTTGGTGGTTACTAGGCAACGATCGCTGGACTCAACCACCCTCGAATGTTGGGGGGAGACGGTGTTTTTCTCGATTTCGCCCCAAGGAGGTGCTCGGACTTCGACGTGCCACCATCTTTGAGCAGGGCACAGCTGTTTACAGCTTTGGAATGGAAATCTGGCTGAATGGTGGTTGCTTGGCAACACCCAGCCACGGTCGCCGCCTTTGAGTAGGGCACGTTGTTTACTACTATAACCTAGAGGGAATGTGGTTGCTAGGCAACGCTTTGGGACCGTCGCAATCTTTGATCGGGGCACAACTGTTTTTCCCGTTTAGAGTGTAAATCATCAAAGCCTACAGGATGGTGGCTAGGCAAGGCCTTGGCGCAGTCATCATCTTCAATCCGGCCTCTGGGTTCTCCTTACCTCCTCCGAGAAACAAGAAAGGTTTGCCAATTCAATTAGCCGCCATCTTTGTTAGGGGTACCATGACTTCCGGCCGGGGCGGAAGAGAACCTAATGGGCTTGGGGGAGGTGCCTGAATGGGGTTTAAGGGTCTGTTTGAGTTGGGTGAAGAAGGCGGGAAATTAATCCTCTTCCAATCAGCTCCCCATCTCGCCCTCTGGCGGCTCCGGACCACAGGCCGTTACTGTGATTACCGGCATGCTCCAAGACCGGCACTGACAGTCCCCACGTGAGGGACCGCGGTGGGAGTCCTAAATGGGGGAGGAGGGGACGGGTGGCACCGTTCATCTGCTGTGCCTCGCGGCGTCCAGCGGGGTTCCCCTGTTCTGCAGGAGCAGTCGCGGCGGCGCCCCCGCCCGTCAGCAGGTGGGGCCTTGGACACCTGTATCTAAACCGAAGGGGGTTCGGTGTTTTGACTCTGGGTCTTCAAGGCAGTAGGGGCTGGGGAGGTTTCAGTGTTGAGTTTGTAGGACCGAGGAGGCAATGCACCAATAAGCCTGATTCCCCAAAGAGGCACTGCCAGGGTATATGGAAAGAGGATGGGGCTGGGAGCTGGCACGCTTAGGTCCTAAGGAGGAGGGGATGGGGTGGTGCTCCTGTCTGATGTCCCTAACCCCTCCTTAGCTCCCGTTCTCTGTCATCGGTTCCCTCAATGGAGTCCATATGTTTGGGCAGAATCTGGAGGTGCAGCTGAGCTCTGCGAAGACCGACAACACGACTGTGGTGTGGAAAAGCTTCCATGACAGGTCCCCAGGAGGGAACGTGGGACAGGGACAGGGCCTGGGTGATAGTCCCTGTTGAAGATGACCTCGGAGGCCTTCCAGCTCTCTAAAACCAGCTGTTAATTTGGCTGTGGGATCTTTAGCAAGCCAGTTACCCTCTTTGATCCCTGATGTTTTCTATAAGAAAGGAAGGTTGGGCTGAGGGAGGATGTATCTGGTGTTCTGGAATCGATGGGCGGACTCCAGCATACCCCTTCCTGATTCCCAAGGCCTTGACTCATTCTTCTGACTTCCATTCCACAGCATTACCCTCATTGTTCTGTCATCTGAGGAGGGCATCTCTGAGCTGAGGCTGGAGAGACTACTCCAAATGGTGTTTGGAGCCATGGTGAGACTCACCAGTCCTCTTTTCTCCCCAAACCAGCATCTGAGATCTCAGCATCCTTCTCCCTCAGACCTAGGAGTCCAGACCACCAACACTTCCTCCCTCAGAACCCAGGAATCTTTTTCTTTTTCTTTTCTTTTTTTTTTTTTGAGACAGAGTCTCGCTCTGTCGCCCAGGCTGGAGTGCAACGGCGTGATCTTGGCTCACTGCAACTTCCGCCTCCCAGGTTCAAGCAATTCTCGTGCCTCAGCTTCCCAAGTAGCTGGGATTACAGGCACGCGCCACCATGCCCAACTAATTTTTGTATTTTTTGTAGAGACAGGGTTTCACTGTGTTGGCCAGGCTGTTCTCAAACTCCTGACCTCAAGTGATCCACCCACGTTGGCCTCCAAAAGTGCTGGAATTACAGGCATGAGCCACCACGTCCGGCCCAGCCAGAACCCAGGAATCTTGACCCCCCAGTCCCCAGACCCAGAAGTGGGAGTCCTAGCCTCCTTTTCCTTCAGACCCAGGAGTTCAAGTCCCAGCCCCTCCTCTCTTAGAACTAGTTGCCCAGGGCCCATTCTCTCCTATATGGTTCTCCTAGGTCCTTCTTGTGGGACTTGAAGAACTGACCAATATCCGCAATGTGGAGAGACTGAAGAAGGACTTGAGGGTGAGGTTGCAGGGCATGAGGGTGGGAAGTTAGGATACCTGGGCACTGCCATTTGGGAACTACAGTTCCCAGCAGCCCCTGGGCAGCCTGGTCCCAAGGTTCTTGGTTGTCTGACCCTGGGTCCACCTGAATGCTAGGCTGGTCCCTTTCTTATTCTCCTAGGCCAGCTACTGCCTCATCGACAGCTTCCTAGGGGACTCGGAGCTCATCGGGGACCTGACCCAGTGTGTGGACTGTGTGATTCCTCCAGAGGGGTCCCTCTTGCAGGTACTGCGGATGCTATGGAAATACGTGTTCCGCTGGCCCTGGCTCAGTCCTCATCCTCTTTCTTCTGGACCATTGTCCCAACCTTCTCCTATCCTCTCAGTTTCCAGTCCTATCCCCACCTGGTCCCAGAAGAATTTTTTTTCTTTGTATTGTTTTTCTTTTCTTTTTTCTTGTTTTTCTTTTCTCTTTTCTTTCCTTTCTCTTTTTTTTTGAGACATAGTTTTACTCTTGTTGCCCAGGCTGGAGTGCAGTGGCACGATCTCAGCTCACTGCAGCCTCTGCCTCCTGGGTTCAAGCAATTCTTCTGCCTCAGCTTCTGGAGTAGCTGGGATTACAGGCACCCGCCACTACGCCCAGCTAATTTATTGTATTTTTAGTAGACATGGGGTTTTGCCATGTTGGCCAAGCTGGTCTCAAACTTCTGACACCTGCCTTGGCCTCCCACAGTGTTGGGATGACAGGCGTGAGCCACTGCACCTGGGCCATCTTTCTTTCTTTTCTGAGACAGGGTCTCGCTCTGTCATTCAGGCTAGAGCGCAGTGGCTCAGTCATAGCTCACTGCAGCCTTGAACTCCTGGATTCAAGTGATCCTCTCATCTCAGCCTCACCAGTAGCTGACACTATAGGCACGTGTCACCACATTCAGCTAATTTTTTTAAGAGATGGACTGGGGTTGGGGATGAGTGTCCACTAAGTTGCCCAGGCTGGTCTCAAACTCCTGGGCTCAAGCAGTCCTCCCCCCTCAGCCTCCCATACTGCTCGGATGACAGGTGTGAGCCATCACACCCGACCACCAGAAGAATCCTCCTATATCCAGAGCTGGCCCTGCCCCTTTCCTGCTCACGGCCCTCCCGCAGCCTCCACCTCCCCCAGGACAAGGTCCCAGCCCCTCAGCCTGGTGTTTGAAGGCCTGTGGCACGTGGCACCCCCTAACCTGTTGCTAAATCCACAATCTACCTCCATCCTGCTGCCTCACAGTCCCCAGAGATCCCAACGACTTTCCAACCTTGGTACCTGCTCTTCCTCCTGTCTCTCAGATCTCTAGCTACCCCTACTTAAATACTGCTCTTGCTGACTTGCCTGGTGTGGGCGCCTCCCAGCAGTGTGACTCTCAGCAGGTGACTTGGCTTCTCTACATTGCTGATGGTGCCTACTCAGCATGTAACAGGCCTTGATGAACAGTAGCTGCTGTGGTTACATCATTAGCTTCAGTTTGCACACTCAGGCTAGGTGTGTAATCAGACTTCACAGTGTGAGTTGGGGATGTGACTTCGTATGAAGGTGAAGGAACTCAGGCTCAGAGAGGGTGAGACGCAGGAGCATGGCCACTCCACGAGCTTGGGGCTGGCTGTGGGTTTCTCCCCATTCCCTGCCCACCGGGGAAGTCGCTGCCAACCCCTACGCCTGTCTGCGACTCCCAGTTCTCCTGCCTCCCTTACCCAGGAAGCCCTCTCCGGGTTCGCGGAGGCCACGGGCACGGCATTCGTCAGTCTGGTGGTGTCGGGCCGGGTGGTGGCAGCAACGGAAGGTTGGTGGCGGCTGGGGACGCCCGAGGCCGTGCTGCTCCCCTGGCTGGTGGGGTCCCTGCCGCCGCAGACCGCTCGCGACTACCCGGTGTACCTGCCGCACGGGAGCCCCACGGTGAGTGGGTGGGGCGGACGGGGCAGAGGGATGTGACCTGGGAGCCGAGTCGCTAGGAAGCGGGATCTGCGATGGAAAGGGGCCGGGCCGCGGTCAGCCCCAGCCTGTGCCCTGCTTCAGGTCCCACACCGGCTCCTGACCCTGACACTGCTGCCGAGCCTGGAGCTGTGTCTACTCTGCGGGCCAAGCCCACCCCTCAGCCAGTTGTATCCACAGGTGAACCTGCGCCACGTCCCGCTTTCCCCCTTAGGACACCCTGTACCTGCAAGGCCCTTTCCAACCACCCTTCCCTGCCAGCGGCTTCTTTCCCCAGCCCCGCCCCTTCTGGACTGCGCTCCAGTCATTCACCTTCCCCGCAAGATCGGCCACTCCCGCGCGTCCTCCGTCCTTCCAGGCCTCGCCCCTTCCCTGGTCCCTTCTGCCCTCCGCCCTCCACTGTTCTCGTAGGCCCCGCCCCTCCCGATTGACCACGCCCCTATCGTGCACTCCCCCGCCGGCCCCGCCTTCCCATAATGACCACGCCCCCTGCAGCTTCTGGAGCGCTGCTGGCAGCCACTGCTGGACCCGTTGCGGGCCTGTCTGCCGCTGGGACCCCGAGCGCTGCCCAGTGGCTTCCCCCTTCACACAGACATCCTCGGGTAAGGCTCGGATGGAGGGAGTGGGTTGGGGATCATGTCCTCTTCCCCAACCATGACATTCCCTTCCCTTTCCCACAGGCTGCTGCTCCTCCACCTGGAACTGAAACGCTGCCTCTTCACCGTGGAGCCCTTGGGGGATAAAGGTGACTGAGGACAAGGGCAGGGGCAGGAGGAGCGTGGGCCGGGGAGGGGCTCTGCATCACTGTCTTTTCCTCAGCAGAGCCTTCACCAGAACAGCGCCGGCGCCTCCTCCGAAACTTCTATACCCTGGTCACCTCCACGCACTTCCCACCAGGTCAGCGGCAGGCACAGTGCTCCCACTGCGCAGGCGGGGACACTGAGTCTCTGGTCACGCAGAGTGGGAGTAGGAGGTGGGGTTGGAGGAACCGGACGAACCCAGCATGCACTGGGCCATAGGGCTGTGGTTTTCTTGAGATCTGAGATTTGATGCAGATGGGAAGGGCGATCCTCTTTAGCAATACACATGGCAAACACGGCAGCAACACAGGAGCTCCAGTAGCCTTTTCCAGGAGGGAAGGGAGGGGAAGGGAGGTCCCTGCCTGGCTTCAGAACCTCCTAGATCATAGTTAACAATAGTTAACAGTGAGACCTCACCTCTTCCCAGTGCCTTTACATGTAATGAAAGAATGAAATCACTTTATCCTCACAAGCGAGGACTATCCTGTTACCTCATCATTCCCATATTACAGATGAGAAAACGGAGGCTCAGCTTATGAGTGGCACAGCCATATTCGAACACAGGGGATCTGGCTCCCATATCCACACGGTCCAGCACTCTGCACTACTGCTGAAAGCACAGACTTTGCTGATAGGCTTGGGGGATGGGGCAGGTTTTCACCGATGCTGGGTTAGAAAGGAAAAATTATTGTAAAACCCATAAAGGCCCAGAGAGACAAAGGGAGGGCCCTGGGATGGCGCTATGACCCCAGTGAAGCCCGGATGAATGCAGCACAGTGGTCAAGTGCTCCATCTGGGGGGCTGCACCCCTTCTTAGCTGTGCGACTTCACCTCTCCCTGGCCCCTGCCTGCTTCCCTCCACCCACCTCATGCAGTGGGGCGGGTGGGCTCCTGGAAAAGGCTACTGGAGCTCCTGTGTTTCTGCCGTGTTTGCCATGTGTATTGCTAAGAGGATTGCCTGCAGCTGCACAGTTTCCCCAGGAAAATGGGGGCCAAGGCTGAGAAAGAGGAAGAGGGTGAGCTGAGAGCATCATGGTCTTCAAGTTGCTGACAGCTTGCTAGAACCCCGAGGCCCTGCCCTGGCAGAAGGCTCCCAAAACCTGTGCTCAGAGACCCCACGCGTTCAGAACTTGGGCCCAGGATGTGGTGTGGCTTCCAAAGGTTAGCATGCTACTTGTCACCTCAGTGCCCCCTGTTCTTTCCCCAGAGCCAGGGCCACCAGGGAAGACAGAAGATGAGGTCTACCAGGCCCAGCTGCCCAGAGCCTGCTACCTGGTGTTGGGGACTGAGGAACCAGGCAAAGGAGTGCGTCTGGTGGCCCTGCAGCTGGGGGTTCGGCGGCTGCTGCTGCTGCTGTCTCCCCAGAGTCCCAGCCATGGGCTGCGAAGCCTAGCCACCCACACTCTGCATGCCCTCACCCCACTTCTTTGACTACCTAGCAGTGGGTGATGGACACAGACATGGGGCTGTTAGCGTCTCTCTGTTTATTCGCTCACAATAATACACAGCCCCTGGATGGGGAGGGGGTAGGAGGGGCTACAACAGGGTGGGGTGGGAGGGGAGGAGGCATCCACTTTCCTTGCCCCTCTCCCCTCTGTGCTTGGGAGGGGGGAAGGGAGGGAGGGGGCTCCCCCTAACCCCCAGAATGTAAACAGCAGCAGATGAACAACAATAAACATACAAAAGGCCGGAGGAAGGTCCCAGGCATCCCCCAACCCCTGGCGTCTTCTCTGTCACCAGTGGAGGTCCCCCATCCACCAAAGCTGCCTCAGTCCAAGGGGCTGCCCAGTGCCGGCCACATCCCCGGGGGCAGAGTCCAGGGCTCAGAACTGCTGTGCCAGCAGCTCACACAGGTGACGGGAGACGGGCTCCTTGCTGGTGCGCAGGGTCAGCCGATACATCTGGGTGGGGACATTGGGGGCAGAACTCAGAGAAGATGGGGAGCCCAGGGAAGTGGGGACACAAGGGAGATAGAAGAAAGAAGGATAAAGGGGCCAGAAAAGTGATACAAGACACAGGAGAGGAGAATGTAAGAATGAAATCAACGGAGGAGCCAGAAAGGAGGGAAATTATAAATGAGAAGAGAAAGGTGGAAACGATATGGAAAGGTAGAAATCAGGGAGGGACAGGAAGAGGAGAGGAAGACCAGAGGTTGGAGACAGGAGAGAAGATTGATGGATAAAGAGGAGGAAAAGTGGACAAAGATGCGAGAGGAGGAGGGTCAAAGGGGGGACGTGAATTGAACAGTGAGGCAGGAAGAGTGGGCACAGAGATGACAGGTGGCCTTCCTGCCGACCTCAGGCCTCCCACAGCAGCACTCACCTGGGCCTGGGCGTTGGGTTCCAGCCGGAGCAGACAGCCCACCTGCAGGGCTTTAGTCTGGATGATCCCTGCCCCCACGAAGTTCTCAGGGTTGGGGTCCACATTGTCCAGGAGAGCAGAGCCAAATCCCAGAAGCTGGGAGGGAGGGGGGCCGCCGTCAGAGAGTGCCAGAGCTGTCAGTTACCACACAGTGGCATCCCAGATCCCAAAACCCTTGGGGATGGGAATTGGCCCCACTTTACAGATGGGAAAACAGAGGCTCAGAGAAGCAAAGCAGCCTAGGCCAGCAAACACGCCCGCGGTCTCTCACCTTGGCCTTAGTAACTTCTGCGTCCATGGGGTGGTTGGCTTTGAAGATTTTCTGCGCCTCCTGTTGAGGGCTGGGGACCGGGAAGGTTCAAGTCAGGGACCTGGACGGCCCGACCCGCCCACCCGGAGGCGCGGCTTTGGCGCCGCCCCCTCCCCACCCCTCACAGGCTCAGCTGCTTCCAGCGCTGGAAGAAATCCTGGGCCGCCATCTCTGTGGGCTGGAAGAACTTGTTGATGGTCACTGGGAGCTTCAGGGTGAGGGCCTGGGGGGTGCCACCGTACCTGGTGGAGTGAGGGGGAGGCTCCGTTAGGCCCCGCCCCTCGCCCGGGAGGCCCCGCCCACTGGCCGCGCCACACCTCACTTACCGGAAGCGCACGGACAGCAGCGGGGGCGTCAGGAAGTCCCGCAGACACTCAATATTGAGCACCTGCTGCACCTGCGCGCCGCCATCCACCTGCGCCGCCACGCGCTTGGTCTGCACAGCCAGCTGTGCCCGCCAGCGGTCAAGGAAGCCAGACAGAGGCGGCGGGCCCCCGGGAGGTCTGGGTCAGGAACCCCAGAGCTGCCGGCAGCTCCCGCCTGCAGGTCTTTGAGGGACCCCATGGTGCAATCCTGGACTCAATCCTACAAGGTTCAACTACAAAGTTCATACTATGGAAACCTCTGAGGCGCCCCCTAGGTGCCTCCTTTGGCCTCCCACAATGTCACACCTCACTGAGACATAATAGTATTAGCTCTGGAGGCTGACTTGGGTTTGAATCCCATCTCTTACCTACCTGAGTGGCTGTGGGCAGCCACTTAACCTCTCTAAGCCTCTGGACATGTGTAAGATTGGGCAACATGGCAAGACCCCATCTCTACAAAAAAAATTAGCCAGGTGTGGTGATGTGCACCTGTACTCCCAGCTACTTGGAAGGCTGAGGCAGGAGGATGCCTTGAGCCCAGAAGATCGAGGCTGCAGTAAGCAGTGTTCGTGCCACTGCACTCCCGCTTGGGTGAGTGAGGCCCTGTCTCAACAAAAGGACATGTGTAAAATGTCCTCAGGAGTTGATGAAATAATCCAGCCGGGTGTGGTGGCTCACGCCTGTGATCCAGCACTTTGGGAGGCCAAGGTGGGAAGGATCACTGAGCCCAAGGGTTTGAGACAAGCCTGGGCAACACAGTGAGGCCTCATCACTATTTAAAAAAAAAATCCATTACAAGTACTTGTCTGTGTGCCCGGTACATGATAAGTACACAAAGATGGTAGCAATTAGCGTTATCGTCATCTGCATCCGTGTCAGTAGCCCACTGGGAAGGCCTGGGTCTCATGTTCTCTTGCCACTGCCTCCACGGAGCTGCCTGCACGAGCCTCTGGAAATTATGGAAGAGGGAATTTTGTTTCTGATTTTTTTTGAGACAGGGTCTCACTCTGTCGCCCAGACTGGAGTGCAGTGATACAATCTCAGCTCACCACAACCACCACCTCCAGGCTCAAGTGATTCTCTTGTCTTAGCCTCCTGAGTAGCTGGGATTATAGGCGCGCACCACTACCACCCAGCTAATTTTTGTATTTTTAGTGGAGATGGGGTTTCACCATGTTGGCAAGGCTGGTCTTGAACTCCTGACCTCAAATGATCCGCTGGCCTCAGCCTCCCAGTGCTGGGATTACAGGCATGAGCCCCCACGCCCGGCCGGAAGGAGTTTGGGGGTTGAGCTTTTCTAATTTCATCAATGTGGAAATGGAGGCCCAGAGAAGGAACAGGGGGTACTGATACCTCCAGCCACCCTTCCAGGGTTTTCCAGATACTCTGATCTTCACAATAACCCTATGAGGAAGAGGAGGGTCTACATACACTTCCCGGTGGGGACAGGAAGGCCCAGATAGGCAAAGTGACTCAGCCTAGGTCATACAGGAGGAGGCCCTGATCAGCGTCTGGACCCGCAGGCCTGGCTTCTGAGTGCAGGAGGTGCTGGCATCATGACATGGAGCCCAGTGGAGGATAATGGCAGGACACGGAAGGTGCCAGACAGGGACAAACTGAGGCCTGGAGCAGGTGAGTTCCGGAAGTAATGCCTCCACACACCCACTTCACTGTCATCTCCTGTCTGGGGGAAGGAACCCCACCCCCATCTTACAGATGCAGACACTGAATCTCAGAGAAGTAACTGGCGTGCCCAAGAGGGGCTAAAGAGAAGTGTGGACCTGGGTCAGCCAGTTCCCCACGATGAGGAAGGCCAACCTGGAGAGGCAGGCCTGGAGGCAGGAGGCTGGGCCGGGCCTGAGAGGATATGAGTCTGGAGGTCTCCAGGTGGACCACAGTGGGTGAGAATTCTGGAACTGTACGAGGTCTTGTTGCCATAGAAGAGATACATGCGGCCTGCAGTAGGTGGGGGAGGCAGAGCTCCATCTGAGTCCCTCTGACCCCTTCCCCAGGCCCAACCCAAGGTCTCCCTCCCACCCATTCCCACAGTCCCCTGGGACACACCTAGATTCTGCCGGAACTCTGACTTGACTCCGATCTGCAGCAGCTGGTTCTCGAACAGAACCCCGTTGTTCTTACACACAAACCTGGGTGGGAGTGGCAGGGGGCGCAGGATGACGGGGATGCCTGCCTGCACCTGACCTAGGCTCTGCACCTGTCCCCATTCCCCTCCCCCACCTCTCCCAGGACTCACTTATTCAGCAATTCATCGGCTTCCGGAATGGGAGGGCCAATGTCTTCAGGACCTGGGCTGGAGGCAGTGAGTGAGTGGAGTGAGATGGGAAGGGACTTGGTGGGGAGGGGCGAAGACCCAGAGCAATTGAGTGTGAGAACAAACCCTAAGGACAGAACCCCAGAACCACATATCCAGACCCCTCACAGAGCTTCGAGGAACTTCACATCCGTTCAGCAGTGGCCTCTAACGGGAATGGAACCCTGGCCCGTGCCCCCGCATCGGCAGGCACCAAGTTTCCCTTTCCTCAAAGTCCCTGCCTCTGCTGCTCATCAGGAACCCGTTGACAAGAGCTCTCAGTCCCCTAACTCTCCCTGGGGACACCGGAGTCTGCCCCCCCGCGACCTCCCACCCCAGGCCACCCCTTACTCAGCAGCTGGAGCTGGGTCAGCCAGCAAAGCCATGGGGCTCTCGGGGGCAGGCGGCTCCAGCTCGCTGGGCCATCCAATCCCAGAGCAGACAAGAGAAGACAGGCGTGGCAGCCAATCCCAGACAGGCAGCAAGAGGGCCGGAGAGAGAGAGAGACAGAGAGGGAGAAGGGAAGGAGAGAGGGAGAAAAGGAAGAGCAGGCTGAGAAACGGTGACAGGAAAGGAGACAACGAAGGGTGGCCAGTGTCGGTGGAGTCCAGAGTGGGAGAGGGAGGCTGTGAGCAGGGAGGCTGGGGCAGGGGAGGCAGCAGCCAGGGCTGGTGAAGGCATCGGGATGGAGAGAGGAGCGAGTAGGGGGCTGGGGAGGGGCTCAGGGAAAATGCGGGCAGAGGCCGAGAAGGGACAGCCCTGGGGGTGGCTGTGAGAAGGGGCCCGGGCCCAGGGGGTGCTACCTGAGGAAGGCCTCCTCGGGGGTGGGCCCCAGGCTGGGCTGGGCGGCCGGGCCATCGAAGACGTCCACCAGGAGGTTCCCTGCCCCTGCAGAAGCCGGGGGTGCTGCCGGGGGAGGGGCTGCCCGCAGCCCCAGGAGGTCGGCGGAGGGCGAGGGCGTCGACTGTAGGAAGCGCAGGTCATGGTGAGGACAGATGGCACCCTGGCAGGACCCAGCCCCAGGCACCCTGGCAGGGCCCACCCCAGGGGACTCACCACAGTGCTGGGGGTGGGCTCTACGCCCCCATTGATGTCGTTGCTGCTTGGGTCCCTCCGGCCATCATCCAGGGCACTGCCAGCCCCTGGCCCCTTCTTGCGTTTCAGCTTGGCCAGGATGGACGACTCGCGCTCGGGGAAGGGCGGCATCTCCTCCAGCACCGTAGCCTGGCGCAGTCGGGTGGGGAAGGTCAGTTCGGGTCAGGAGGAGGGGAGAGCGGGAAGGGGGTATGCCAGGGTTGGGAGGGGCAAGGCTCTGACCAGGACGTCGGTGCTGGCCACCGAGCTGAGGGTGAGGTACTCCACGGCTCGCTGCTGCAGCTCCACGTCAGCATTGCGCAGCTGGGAGCCGGCCCGCAGCACGGCCTGGATGGTGGCCTTGGTCTCGGGGAAGAGGTTGATGAACTTGATGTAGGTGGACAGCAGCAGCGCCCGCGTCGCCACGCTGCACAGGTGGAACTTGGAGTGGAGCAGGGAGAACTGCACCGGGGGGCTGTGCGCGGGAGTGGGTGTCAGCGGGGACCAGGCTCCACTGCCCTCTCCCAGAAACCCCCTCGAGAGGCACCCCTCCCTGGGATGGACCTGTCCCAGGACCCCAGGCCGCTGGAGGGGAGTGGCCCTCCCCAGGCACCAGGCAGGGGCCACAGTCACACTCTGTCCATGATCCTGGGACTGAGGTCCTCTCTTACCCTGCTAGGTGGATTGGGGTGGAGGCCGAGAGGATGGGAGCCCATCACCGCCTACCCTGAGACCCCTGGGGATCCCTCAAGCCCTGGATCCGTCAGAAGTGTGTAGTGTTCCCCCCGCAGGCTGAGGCTCCCTCACCTGGAGCGGGGGTCCCCAGCAATCAGGTTCCCAAACTCCCCAAGGATGTAGCCGCCAACCTTCACCATGTTCTCATGACAGGCAGGGGCCTGGAGCGCCTGGGGGGGGCGGGGAAGGGCGTGGAGAGGACAAGAATGAGCACTCTCTCTGGGAGCACTGGGTGCAACCACCTCCTGACTGGTGGAACCCTCAAAGCTCTGCTGCGGGTGGGGTTATAGGTGGTAAACTGAGGCACAAAAAGGTTGAGTGACCGGCCCAAGCTCACACAGGCCGTAAAACAGGGCTGTGAGCCGGGCGTGGTGGCTCATGCCTGTAGCCCTAGCATTTTGGGAGGCCGAGGAGGGCAGATTGCCCAAGCTCAGGAGTTTGAAACCAGCCTGGGCAACATGGTGAAACCCCATCTCTATTAAAAATACAAACAAATTAGCTGGGTGTGGTGGCATGCGCCTGTAGTACCAGCTACTGGGGAGGCTGAGGCAGGAGAATGGTTTGACGCTGGGAGGCGGAGGTCGCAGCGAGCCAAGATCACGCCAAGGCACTCACTCCCCAATCCAGCCTGGGTGACAGAGTGAGACTCCGTCTCCAAAAAACAAACACACCAAAAAAAAACCAAAAAACAAAAAAAACAGGGCTGTGCAGGTCCCCTTTCCTGGGGCAGAGGGAAATGGAAACTACCGAGATCTGGGGCCAGGACTGCACACCGGGCTCCCCATGCCCATGCCCTGGGGACTCCTCACATCAGGAGGGTAGGAGGGACCCAGAGCCCTGGGTGCCCTGGGTTGGCCCAGAGAGGCAGAAGCCCCACTTTGAGGTCACAGCAGTGCAGGAGGAGGATGGCCAGGGGCTGGCAGGCCCCACAGCCCCGGCCGTCCTTGCTCTGCCTCTAGGTCCTGTCGTGGGGTCATGGGGGTCAGGGTCAGGAATGCTGACCTCAAAGACCGTCTTGGCGGCGTAGCCCTGGACGTCATCACGGTTGGTGACGATCTGTAGCACACGGTACCACACCTCTTCACTCACGTAGTCGCCCGCGATGCGGATGAGGTTGAGGATGGTGTCCACATACCAGCTGTAGTCCACGGCGTACTTCTCAGCCAGGATGGCCACCTTCAGGACCTGCCGCCGGAGCATGTGAGAGACAGAGTGCCCGCAGGCTGAGTCGGGCTTTCACTCACCTGGCTCTGGGCTCACCACTGCCCCCATCTGGAGACCCAGGAGTCCAGGTCCCAGCCCCTCCTCCCTCAGACCCAGGAATCCAGGCCACCAGCCACCTATCCCTCAGATCCAGGTATCCAGGCTCCAGCCCCTCTTCCCTCGGACCCAAGAGTCCAAGCCCCCAGTCACCCCCTCCCTCAGACCCACAAGTCCAGCCCGCACCCCGCAGCACTCACGATCTCCTCGCGGATGGCATAGTCGGCCGTTTCCAGGTACCGCAGCATCTCCGACACGATCTGCTTGGCATTGCTCCGGTCACACATGGCGTAGAGGAGGTCAGCTGCCCGCTGCCGCACGCTGACGTCCCGCTCCGTCTGAGGGTGGACAGCAGGGCCCAGGTGTGTTTTAGACTCCCTGTTGGCACAGGGTTGGCCACCCAAGGGCCTCTGAGCCTCTGGTCTTTCTGAGGGGGGTGGCAGGCCCAAGTGGGCTCCAAGGGGTCACACCTTGAGGGCATTGATGACGGTGTCAATGTGCGTCTTGACGGCTTCGTGGGAGAACTCGGAACTGGCCAGCGTGCACATGCTCTCCAGGGCCAGGTAGCGCAGGTTGGTCTCCCGGTGCTGCAGGAACTGGCCCAGCTGGTTGCAGGCCCGCACCAGGAGGTTGGGCTCACTGCCCGCAGGGGCCACAAGAAAGGGATAGTGAGAGAAACTGACAGGAGGAGGTGGAGGACTCGGGCCCCAGCTGACCCACCTCACAGCCCCCAAGGATCCAGGTCTTTTTTTTTTTTTTTTTTTTTTTTTTTTTTGAGACGGAGTCTCGGTCTGTCGCCCAGGCTGGAGTGCAGTGGCCGGATCTCAGCTCACTGCAAGCTCCGCCTCCCGGGTTCACGCCATTCTCCTGCCTCAGCCTCCCGAGTAGCTGGGACTACAGGCGCCCGCCACCTCGCCCGGCTAGTTTTTTGTATTTTTTAGTAGAGACGGGGTTTCACCGTGTTAACCAGGATGGTCTCGATCTCCCGACCTCGTGATCCGCCCGTCTCGGCCTCCCAAAGTGCTGGGATTACAGGCTTGAGCCACCGCGCCCGGCCGGATCCAGGTCTTAACCTTGCCGGCCCTACATTGCAGTCCTGCACCTCCAGTGACCCAGACAGCTGGGCCTTTGAGCCCAGAGAAAGAAACCCAGCAATTCTGCCCCCAAGAAGCACCCCAGCACCAACCTCACAGGTGACACTTCACAGCCCCATCCTCCTACTACCCTACCTAAAAGTCAAGATTCCCTGCCCTCTGCCTAGGACCCAGGAGTCCGGGCCTCCACGCCCCTCCTTCCTGGCCCCGGGCATCAGGCCCTGGTGGGCCCAGGCGGGCACCTGTCATAGTGGATGATAAGGCTGATGGTCTCGAAGAGGATGGCGTTCTTGGCGTTGGAGTGCTGCACCTTCTTGGATTTGGGGGGCTCCTGGGCCTTGTTGAGCACAGTCTCCAGACATTCCACCAGCCGCCCCTTCACGGCCGCATCCTCTGGGGAAATGAAGGGGACGCACCTGGCTGAGTGTCCTGCCCGCCTGGCAAACCAGCTGGGGTGGTGGCCATGCCCCAGCTCCTGTCTTCCAAGGGAGGAGCTCGGGGTGCCTCTGACCTTGAGAATTCTGCAGCTCAGGGCCAGGATCTCTGCTCCCTCAACCTCTTCCCAGCCCAGCAGAGGAGGTGAGACAAGGCACCTCTGGAGACACAGGATCTATCCCCAGTCCTGGGCTCTCCTCCTGCTCTGACCCTCTCGGGCAAGAGGTGGCACCCATGTGAGCCTCAGTTTCCTCATCTGCAGCTCTGAGGCTCCTTAGGTTTCTCACTGAGCAAAAGAAGCTCCAGGAACCTTCCCAAGAGATGCCCCCAAACCCAGGCCTTCCCATGGACTGGTGCGAGTGCCGAGCAGCCCCTGACAAAAATGCACCAGCCACCCACCCAAGTGTCCGTTCAGCAAGAGACCACTGCAGGCACACTCGGTGCCATCCTCTGGGCCTAGAGGCTGGGAGGTCAAAGGAGACAAGGCTCAACCAGGCGCCCCCTCACCCCCCAGAGCTCTCTACCACTGACAGATGCCAGCCAGAAGCTCACAGGAACACCAATCACTACATTTCCCAGCATGTGACGTCTTTTCAAGTGTATATAAGAGCTGTCAAGTATTCCAGCAAAAAATGCTGCCGCAAATCTACAGGAAAATTCACCAGATAGAGGAACAAGCTAAAAGACACCACAAGGCAGCAATGAGGCCAGTCGCCACCATGGGACACATGGCAATGGCATCTCCTGCTTTCTCCAGAAACAGGTGTGGGGGCTAGTCCAGACTACGAGAAACAACAAAGACAGAATCCAATTTAAATCCTGTTTTTGTAAACAGGGCAACTATGTCGCCCAGATTGATCTCAAACTCCTGGGCTCAAGCGATCCTTCTGCCTCAGTCTCCCAAAGTGATAGGATTACAGTGTAAGCCACTAAACCTGGCAGAATCCAATTGAATATGTGATCCTAGACTGTACTGTGATATATATTGTGGGTTTTTTTTGGTGGTTTGTTTTTTTGAGACAGAGTCTCACTCTGTCACCCAAGCTGGAGTGCAGTGGCGCAATCTTGGCTCACTGCAACCTCCGCCTCCCGGGTTCAATCGATCCTCCCATCTCAGCCTCCTGAGTAGCTGGGACTACAGTCATACACCACCACACCTGGCTAATTTTTTGTATTTTTTGTAGAGATGGGGTTTCGCCATGTTGGCCAGACTGGTCTCGAACTCCTGAGCCCAAGTGATCCTCCTGCCTTGGCCTCCCAAATTGCTGGGATTACAGGTATGAGCTGCCATGCCTGGCCCAGAACAACATATTTAAAGGCAAAACATCATGATGTATGTAATTTACTTTTAAATATTTCAGAAGAAAATAAAACAAGAGCATGCATACATGGCAAAATGTGAAGTCTACGTAATGACATCTCTCTGCTTGTGTGGATGTTGGGAAACTTTTCACAATGCATGTGAAAAAAAAATGACTTGGAAACAAATTGGCAGTAGCCCACTACCATTTGCTGAAAAGGAGGTGACACAGGGTTGGTGTGTCCTCAGACCCAGCCTCAGGACAGGGCTGTATCTGCAGTTCCTACACCACAGAGGGTTGGAGTGGGTGAGCTGCCTGCCCTGGGTGTACCACAGAATTACCAACTGGGCCTTCTGGGGTGGACGTGGGCTTAAAGCATGACCTAAGCCCTTCTTGACAGGATGAAAAAGAGGCCCCGAGAAGGAAGACATGTCCCCAGGGTCACACAACAGAATTCATCACTGGCTTCACACAAGATGGGCCTCTGGTGTCACCTCAATATCATACACTCAGTTATAGAGTGTGCACACACATGCCATGTGCAGAGGGACGTGCACAGACACAATGCATGCTGGCAAGCATTGAGACACGCATACCCAGGCATGCAGACAGGTGTCTACACTCATGTACACACCCACTTGCGTGCACAGACAGGTACACATGTAGATGCACACACTGATACATACACATGTACACACATAGAGGGACACAGAGATACCGTGAACACACTGCCACATACACACACAGACACACACACACGATGACATCCACATACAGGGGGATGCATGCAGACGTGCATGCACACGGACAGGTATCGACACACACAGATGAACATGCACACACACACAGGCATGAACACAGACAGGCATGCACACCCAGAGATTCGGTGGCGTACATCGGCCCTGGCCCCTGGCAGGTACTGGGCATGCTGGCTGAATGGAGGGAACTGGTGCATTAGCACCTACTGTGTGGCAGGCCCTTCAGCACAGGGTCCCAAGAAACTGCTCCATGAAGTCAGTCAGCCAAGGCGACAGAAGCCCAGGGGAGCTCAGTGGCAGAGGGAGGGGTTTATAGCAGAGAGTCTGGGGGCTGACTGCCGCTTACTCAATGCCTAGAACGGTGATGTCTCACCTTCAAGCCTCAGCCTCCCTGTGTGCATATCACACTGGCTGTTCCTCCTTGCCAGCTCTGTTCGGCAGGTGCAGGCGCCTCCCTGCACAGTGCCTGGCTCACTACAGGAGTTTCATACACACTGGCTATTGGGACCGTGAGCGGTAAGGGAAGGTTCCCACCAGACGTGAAAACCCCTAACAGGGCTATGGTAATTCAGACAGCACAGCCTGGAATCACCCACTGACCGGGTGGGTGACCCTGGGCCAGGAGCTCCCTCTCCCAGTCTCAGATTCCTCATCTAGAAAACAGGCGCAGTAACAGCCCCTAGTGACAGGGCTGGAACGAGAGCCTGGGTAGCAGGGACCTCAGCAATGAGGCTGATCGATGATGCTGCACAGGGTAGGCACTGGGCCTCACGCTGCCCGCTTGCCACCCCCACTGCAGCCACGTAACAGGGGACAGAGGAACCACCCCAGCTTCAGAGAAATCCTGACCCAGACCCTCCAGTCCCACCTGGTGCGCTGTGGAGCTGGAGGCCCCCAGATGCCAGCAGCAGGCCACCCCGGGTTGGGGAGTGCGCGGCGTTCGTTACCTGGAGGCGGGTAGCACTGCAGCAGCCGCAGGAGCTTCACCGAGAGCCAGGGCGCTGGGACGAAGTAGTAGGTATAGTCCTGGAGGTCGGTGGAGGCTGAGGAGACAATCTGCGGGGGAAGAGCAAGGAATAGGTTGGGGGCTGGGGTGGGAGGGGCACGTGGGCTCACATGCCAGGGTGGAGCAAATGCTGCCTTCCAAGGGCAGTGCTGTCAGTGTTAACAGTTTTGTTAGTGGGTTTTTTTGTAGAGACAGGGTCTCACTATGTTGCCCAGGCGGGTTCAGAACTCATGGCCTCAAGCAATCCTCCCACCTCAGCCCCCCAATGTCCTAGGGTTACAGGCATGAGCCACCATGCCCAGCCAATGTGATGGTTTTATGAAGCAGGAATCTGAGGCTCTGGGAAGGGAGCGAGGAAGGGTCAGGCACACAGGATGGGGGCAAAACTAGGACTAAGCCTGGCTGGTTGATCGTTCCAAGTAATGCCGGTGCGCGGTGGGCAGGAAAGGTCTCTGCTGGTTCCCTTCTGTGTGACAGTCCCAGGCCCCCTCCTCACATGGGACGCTCTGAGCCTCCCCTGCCCCAGGTTTCCTCCATCAGAGCACACAGCATGCCGGCTCCCGGAGGCTGTTTCCTATAGTCCCCCTACAAGGCTCAAAGCTACTCAAGGGCAGGGATTGGGTCTGACCCTTTTCTGGGTCCCTCGGCCTAATACAAGGTCAGATAGGAAGAGGTTCAGGGAGGAGGCAGGGAATTAGTGAAAGACTGAAAGATCATGGCTGGGTGCAGTGGCTCACGCCTGTAATCCCAGCACTCTGGGAGACCAAGCGGGGTGGATCACCTGAGATCAGGAGTTCAAGACAAGCCTGACCAACATGGCGAAACCCCATCTCTACTAAAAATACAAAAATTAGTGGCCGGGCGCGGTGGCTCACGCCTGTAATCCCAGCACTTTGGAAGGCCGAGGCGGGCGGATCACAAGGTCAGGAGATCGAGACCACGGTGAAACCCCGTCTCTACTAAAAATACAAAAAATTAGCCGGGCGCGGTTGTGGGCGCCTGTAGTCCCAGCTACTCGGGAGGCTGAGGCAGGAGAATGGCGTGAACCCGGGAGGCGGAGCTTGCAGTGAGCCGAGATCGCGCCACTGCACTCCAGCCTGGGCGACAGAGCGAGACTCCGTCTCAAAAAAAAAAAAAAAAACAAAAACAAAAATTAGCTGGGTATGGTGGTGCACGCCTGTAATCCCAGCTACTTGGGAGGCTGAGGCAGGAAAATTCCTTGAACCTGGAAAGCAGACATTGCAGTGAGCCAATATGGCGCCACTGCACTCCAGCCCAGGCAATAGAGTAAAACTCCGTCTCAAATAAAAAAAAAAAGAAAGAAAAAGAAAGATTGGGCCAGGCACGGTGGTTCACACCTGTAATCCCAGCACTTTGGGAGGCCAAGGTGGGCAGATCACCTGAGGTCAGGAGTTTGAGACCAGCCTGACCAACATGGTGAAACCCCATCTTTACTAAAAATACAAAATTAGCCATCGTGGTGGCACATGCCTGTAATTCCAGCTACTTGGGAGTCTGAGGCAGGAGAATTGCGGGAAGTGGAGGTTGCAGTGAGCCAAGATCGTGCCATTGTACTCCAGCCTGGGCAATAAGAGCGAAACTCCATCTCAAAAAAAAAAAAAGGAAAGATCATGTGACTTTTTTTCCTCATTGCAAACTCCTATTCAACCTTGCAAAGCCCTTCTCCAGGAAGCTCTGGCCCACCTCTGTGCTGGTCTGTGTTCCTGCCTCACTGTCATCCCGGCACACTCCAGCATTCGGACGTGTGATGAATGGATGAAACAGTGACTGAGGCTGAGCACAGCGGCTCACAGCTGTAATCCCAGCACTTTGGGAGGCTGAGGCGGGAGGATCACTTGAAGCCAGGAGTTTGAGACCAGTGTGGACAACAAAGCAAGACTGATCTCTACAAAAAATACAAAAATTAGTGGCCGGGCGCGGTGGCTCACACCTGTAATCCCAGCACTTTGGGAGGCCGAGGTGGGCGGATCACGAGGTCAGGAAATCGACACCATCCTGGCTAACACGGTGAAACCCCGTCTCTACTAAAAATACAAAAAATTAGTCGGGCGAGGTGGCGGGCGCCTGTAGTCCCAGCTACTCGGGAGGCTGAGGCAGGAGAATGGCGTGAACCTGGGAGGCGGAGCTTGCAGTGAGCCAAGAAAGCGCCACTGCAGTCCAGGCTGGGCAACAGAGTGAGACTCCATCTCAAAAAAAAAGGAAAAAAAAAAAATTAGCCACCTGCAGTCCCAGCTACTCGGGAGGCTGAGGCGAGAGATCGCTTGAGCCTAGGAGCCAGAGGCTGCAGTGAACCATGGTTGCACCACTGCACTCCAGCCTGGGTGACAGTGAGACCCTGTCTGTTAAAAAAACAAAACAAAACAAAACCCTGAGAAAGAAATAATGAGTAGCTGCTCATAATGAGTGAGCTGGTGTGTTCTTCTCTTTGCCTGTGAATCCAGGCCTCTCTCTACTGCCCAGCAGACATGCATGTGTGCTCCAAGTCTCAACTCAGGGAATCCTTCACCGCCCCCAGGAAGCCTTTGTGGACTCCCAGCCTGGGTTAAGTGCCTCCTATGGGCGCCCTGTCCTACCTCCATTATAGCGCAAGTCACCCCTTTTCTGACAATCGGTGACTGAGTCACCTCCCTGCAAGCAGGACAGGGAGCTCCTTAAGTGCAGAGCTTGGTTTCTGACTCATCTGTGTCCCTGGTGTCACCCCACATGGAGCCTGGCATGCAAGAGGCCTCAGGGGATGTTCCTGGGCAGGACAGGAGCAAAGGTGGGAGAGGGACGCCAGGCAGGAGTGAGGCTGCACAGGAAAGACAGAGGCGGGAGGCAAAGCCAGAAGAGGGAAGGCGGGAGACAGAGAGAGGAGCGGGAGAGGGAGGAGGGCAGAGGGCAGCTCTGGCTCCCAGGGTGCTCGGCCTGCGAGGCCCTGTTCTCAGCACTTTATCCACAGCCCTCTGTGCCTCCAGGCGGGCACTGGTATTAACCCCACTGAACACAGGGGGCAGCTGAGGCCAGGGAGGTGAAGCCACTTGTCCGGGGCCACCCAGCCAGGAAGAGGCCGAGCCAGGATGAATCCAGCTCAGAGCTTGAGTTTGTAAACCTTGGGCTGGGCTGCCTCTCAGGGAGAGTGGGGACCTGGGGGGTGTCAGAGGGCACAGGGATGCCAAGGCCACCTCCTGCAGCCAGCATCTAGGCCACACCCACCCGGCTGAGGCGCGACACAGCCAGGGAGATGCACGTCTTGAAGTCGTCTGGGTTCTTCTTGCAGAGACAGGTGATGAGGCTGACAGCAGCCGTGACCACGCCCTGCAGGGGCAGAGGAGAGGCAAGTCAGGCCCTGGGGGAGGCGGGCACCTGAGAGCAGAGGCTCAGGAGCGGGGCAAGGTCGGGCTGTGTGTGCAGTTGGGAGGATGGGGTTTAGGGGTTTGCACACGTGTCACTGTGCGTGCTTCAGGGGTGGGGTGAGGAGGCCACGGGGCCTTGGGCACCATGACCAGCACTGACCTGGGTGTGTGGGGTATCCCCGGCAGGACCCCAGGCAGCTGGGTAAGGAGCAGTGAAGGGGTGGGACTCCAGAGAGTTGAGACTATGGTGAGTGGGACAGGGGTCAAGGTTTCTGTGCCGGTGGGCAGGTGATGGGCGCTGTTGGGGGAATCTCCGGGTATCAGAAACAGAGAGTGGGATTTTCTAAGGGGCTGGGTGGCTGGTGAGGGGTTTGGGGGTCACTGGACAGGATCCCTAGCCAGCCAGGTGAGTGTCAGAGATGGGGATGGGAGGGTTTCTGGACACTTGGGCAGGTAATGAGTACCAGGGACACTGGATCATGGTTTCTGGTGCCTGGTGAACGTCAGAGCCAAGTGGGGAGCCCCAGACATCCAGGGGGTCTGGGCTGAAGGGGGAGCCCCAGGCATCCAGGGGGTCAGAGCCGAGGGCGTAGCCCAGGCGTCCAGGGGGGGTCAGGGCTGAGGTGGGAGCCCCAGGCAACCAGGGGGGTCAGGGCTGAGGTGGAGCCCCGGGCATCCAGGGGGGTCAGGGCTGAGGTGGAGCCCCGGGCATCCAGGGGGGTCAGGGCTGAGGTGGAGCCCCGGGCATCCAGGGGGGGTCAGGGCTGAGGTGGAGCCCCGGGCATCCAGGCGGGGGCAGGGCTGAGGTGGAGCCCCGGGCATCCAGGGGGGGTCAGGGCTGAGGTGGAGCCCCGGGCATCCAGGAGGCGTGGGGGCAGAGGGCTCACCATGTGCTGGTCATTGAGCAGGTGTACCACGCGTGCCGTCCACTCGCCCATGGGCACCAGGTCAGGCGAGGCCTTGTAGAGTCGCAGGAGGCACAGGGCCGCACTCTGCTTGACGCTGTCCATGCTGTCCCTGTGGGGACACCATGTGGGGCAGGGGAAGCAGCGTCAGTGACCCCAGCACCTCCCCTCCTCTCCTGTTTCTCCCAGGAAGGGTGTGCGAGGCCAGTGAGAGGGACAGACAGCCAGGCTACCGCAGGATCCAATCTGGCGCCGCCCTCATGGCCCACCAGAACTCAGTGTCTTCATCTGCAAAATGGCTGCGTCTCAGTAACCTCATGGGGTCCCCGGCAGGGCTCAGGAACATGTCAGGCCTGGCCCTGCACCTTCATTCATTCACCAAGCACCTACTGGGTGCCCATGGGGTACCAGGCAGTGCTGTGGGCGCCGTGGATAGAGTGGCGAACAAAGTGGTCCAAACACTTGTCCTTACATGTCAGACAGCACCACGAAAACACATACATCAAATACTGTCAGGGCTGGGCATGGTGGCTCATGCCTGTAATCCCAGCACTTTGGGAGGCCGAGGTGGGAGGATCACTTGAGGCCATAAGTTCAAGACCAGCCTGGACAACAGTGAGACCCAGTCTCTTCAAAAATACAAAAATTAGCTGGCTGTGGTGGCGCAGGCTTGTAATCCTAGCTACTTGGGAGGGTGAGGTGGGAGGACTGCTTGAGCCTGGGAGGTCGAGGCTGCAGTGCGCCACGAGTGTGCCACTGCACTCCCTCTAGCTTGGGCAACAGAGTTAGATCTGTCTCTAAATAAATAAAAACATTTAAAATAAACAAAACAGAGTAACTTAATGAGGAAAGACTGAAAATCCTCTGCAACAGAACGTCCCAGGCAGAGGGGACAGCCTGTCCCAGGACCATCAGGAAGGCGGAGCCTGCGCATAGGAGAAGCAGCGAGGAGGCCTGGGGGCTGCGGAGGCCTGCAGGCTGCGGCCTGAGCCATGGGGCAAGAGGCTGCAGATAGGACAGGGAGGGAACATAGGGCCAGACCCTGCAGAGCCTTGTGGGTTCCAGTGAGGACTTGGTTTTTTACTGACTGGGGGATGGAAGCCGCTGTGGGTGGTGAGCAGAGAATCAGCGTGACATTAACGTGACAGCAGGAACAGCTACCCCCAGACCCCTTCGGCCTGTCCAGCACTCCCACAGGTCTCTGGATGGATTCACTCATTTATCTTCTCTCCACAGCAAACTGAAGAAATGGGTGTGTTTTTGATAGGTGTTTAAAGTGTCCCTCTGGCTATTGTGAGGGAACAGACTTTGCAAGGCCCTTTTGATTCCAAGGGAACATATTCACAGGTTCTGAGGGTTAGGGTGGCTCACGCCTGTAATCCCAGCACTTTGGGAGGCTCAGGCAGGAGGATCACTTGAGCCCAGGAGTTCGAGACCAGTCTGGGCAACATAGTGAGACCCCCATCTCTACTAGAAATACGAGAATTAGCCAAGCGTGGTGGCACATGCCTGGAGACCCAGCTATTTGGCAGGCTGAGGTGGGAGGATCGCTTGAGCCTGGGAGGTGAAGGCTGCAGCCTGGGTAGGTGGCAGAGCAAGACCCCCGTCTCCAAACAAAAAAAAAAGGGTGGGGGTACTTTGCAGATATGATGAAGTTAAGGATCATGAGCTGGAGAGAGGATCCTGGGTGATCCAGGTGGACCCGATGTCATCACAGGGTCCTTATAAGGGAAAGATACAGTTCAGAGTCAGAGAGAGATGATGTGAGGATGGAACAGAGGTCAGGCAGGAGAGAAGATGCCATGCCACTGCCTTTGGGGATGGGGGAAGGGGCCACGAGCCAAGGAAAGCAGGTGGCCTCTAGGAGCTGGAGAAGGCAAGGACATGGCCTCTCCTCTAGGGCCCCCGGAAGGGACCAGCCCTGGCCATGAGATGGATGTTGGACTTCCGACGTCCAGAACTGGTGTTTGACACTGCTGTGCTTGTGGTAATTCATCACAGCAGCCACAGGAAAGCAGTGTAGGCACTTGTACTTGTCTGGCACAGAACCTGGCAGCCAGCGGGCAGCCCATCTCAGAGGGCTGACTCCAGGCCCCAACCGTAACCCAGCTCCCAGCACAGTGAAGAGCATGGAGCATGACGTTGTTCTAGAAGAGGATCCCAAGGGAGCACCTTCTGGGGTCAGACACGCCTGCCTGAGGCTGTGACTGTGGGGCGCAGTTTGGGGTAAGCCACTGACCCTCTCTGATGGGCTGTTTCCCCTTCAGGAAAATGAAGAGCCTTGTCAACTTTGGGGACAAAGAAATAAGACTGTGGGCCAGGCATGGTGGCTTATGCCTATAATCCCAACACTTTGGGAGGCTGAGGCAGGTGGATCACTTGACGCTAGGCGTTTGAGACTGGCCTGGTCAACATGGTGAAACCCCATCTCCACACACACAAAAAAAGAAGGCCAAGTGCAGTGGCTCACGCCTATAATCCGAGCACTTTTGGGACACTGAGGCGGTGGATCACCTGAGGTCAGGAGTTTGAGACCAGCCTGGTCAACATGGTGAAACCCCATCTCTTCTAAAAATACAAAAATTAGCAGGGTGTGGTGGCGTGTGCCTGTAATCCCAGCTACTCGGGAGGCTGGGGCAAGAGAATCGCTTGAGGTTGCAGTGAGCCGAGATCGCACCACTGCACTCCAGCCTGGGCAACAGAGCGAGACTCTGTCTCAAAAAAAAAAGAAAAGAAAAAAGAAAAAAAAAAGAAATGAGACTGTGTGGTGCATGGCCATAGCCTTGAGTAAGGAGGCACCGGGAGCTGTCAAGACCGGCCCAGTCATGGCCTATCAGTAAAGGCTTTCCCAGAAAACACCCAACGGACGGCAAAGGACATGGGGAGAAGTCCTTAGGGCAGACCTGCACCAGTCAAAGGCCTGTGGCAACATGTCTCACTGGATGTGCAGCCACCCAGCAGCTGGCTCCTGCCATCAGCCAGGCAGATACCCGCCCAGCTGACACCTGTTGCCACAGCCTCCCAAGGTGCTGGGAACCCTCGTGTGCTGCAGCTGGGGGCGGATACAGGGACAGGCCCTCTGGAAAGGCTCTGGGCTCCCTCTGTCCAGAAAGGCCACCGCTGTGTGTGAAGTAGACCAAGACCAACAGTGCTGCCCCCAGACGCCCACCCTACAGGAACGTTCACAGCCCAGTGATCAAGTTAGAACCAGAAACCAGCAAGAAGCCTGTCCACAGATGATGCTCCATTTATGACAGCACTTTTCCCATCTCAGTCATGGCAGGCATCTACCCAGCCCTGATTCCTGGCCACTCTCCCAACGCTGCATCGGTGCGCATCTCCCGAGCCCTGACTCCGGGCCACTTTCCCATCTCTGTCACGGCGCACATCTCCCAAGCCCTGACTCGGGGCCACTTTCCCATCGCTGCCACGGCGCGCGTCTCCCGAGCCCTGACTCGGGGACACTTTCCCATCGCGCCACGGCGCGCGTCTCCCGAGCCCTGACTCGGGGACACTTTCCCATCGCTGCCACGGCGCGCGTCTCCCGAGCCCTGACTCGGGGACACTTTCCCATCGCTGCCACGGCGCGCGTCTCCCGAGCCCTGACTCGGGGACACTTTCCCATCGCTGCCACGGCGCGCGTGTCCCGAGCCACAGCGCATCTCCCGAGCCCTCACTCCAGGCCACTTTCCCATCGCGCCAAGGCGCGCATCTCCCGAGCCACAGCGCATCTCCCGAGCCACAGCGCATCTCCCGAGCCCTCACTCCAGGCCACTTTCCCATCGCTGTGATGGCGCGCATCTCCCGAGCCACAGCGCATCTTCCGAGTCCTGACTCCGGGCCAAGCTCTGCTCTAAGCACTTCCACACAGCTCGCTCACTCTCCACCACAGCCCTCTAAGGACGCGGATTCTATCAACTCTATTTACAGATAAGGAGACCACACAAAGGAATAAGAGCTATTTATCAACTTGCTTAAGTGGAATAAGGGTTGTGGTGCTACTTAGGAAAAGGTTAAACTACACAGTATCAAGCTGCATACCCAGGCATAAAAAATAAAACCACCAAATCAGGCACAGTGGCTCATGCCTGTAATCCCAGCACTTTGAGAAACCGAGGCCATGGAGGTTCACTTGAGCTCAGGAGTTCAAGACCAGCCTGGGTAATATAGTGAGACCTCCTTTCTATAAAAAGTTCAAAAATTAGCCAGGCGTGGTGGCTTGTGCCTGCAGTCCAGGCTACTGGAGTGGCTGACGTGGGAGGATCACCTGAGCCTGGGAGGTCAGGGCTGCAGTGAGCTATGATCATGCCACTGCACTCCAGCCTGGGCAGCAGAGCAATACTCTATCTCCGGCAAATCATGGATATGCACCACAATGTGGATGAACCTGAAAAACATCTTGTTGAGTGGAAGAAGCCAGACACAGAAGGCCACTGTGCGGTTCCATTTCTACGAAATGTCCACATTAGGCAAATCCGTGACAGAAAGCAGACTGGTGGCAGCCGGGGGCTGGGGGGAAGAGGGAATGGGGAGGGACCGCTAATGGGTACGGGGTCCCTTTTTTTGGAGCCATGAATGTTCTGCAATTAGGTGGTAGTGGGTGGTGCACAGCATCATGAATATACGAGAAACCACTGAACTGAGCACCTTCAAATTGTTAAAATGGCTGGGCACGGTGGCTCATGCCTATAATCCTAGCACTTTGGGAGGCTGAGGCAGGCGGATCAATAGAGGTCAGGGGTTTGAGACCAGTCTGGCCAACATGGTGAAACCTTGTTTCTACTAAAAAACAAAAAACAAACAAACAAAAAAACAAAAATTAGCCAGGTGTGGTGGCGCGCACCTGTAATCCCAGCTACTCAGGAGGCTGAGACAAGAGAATTGCTCGAACTCAGGAGGAAGAGGTTGCAGTGAGCCAAGATTGCACCACTGCACTCCAGCCTGGGTGACAGACAGAGACTCTGTCTTGGAAAAAAAAAAAAAAAAAGGCCTAGCTGGGAGTGGTAGCTCACACTTGTAATTCCAACACTTTGGCAGGCTGAGGCAGGAAGATTGCTTGAGCTCAGGAGTTCAAGACCAGCCTGGGCAACATAGCAAAACTCTGTCTCTACA